CCGGCTTAAGATCGGTGGTATCAAAACGAATATATTACTCGCTATGGAGCAGCGCATCAAGGTTTGTATCTTAATGATCGGAAACTTAGTGATTACTCTGCTTACATGCTTGCAAACATTCGATTTCGAATGAGCTTACACCAGTAATCGACTTGACTTTGAGCACAGACCATTTCAATTCCGACTAATTACCGGTGAAGTGCTTGCAAGCACTGTTTGCTAGACCTTGTTACTCTATTTTAGTTGTCAAATTCACAATATTATTGAACTGCAAAACTGATTTCAAAATCCATTATGAACAAATACTTCTAGCTACTTTAGTCTGATCTCGTATCTTACATTACACTAAGTAAATGAGGCTCCTCTTTCGATCCTCTTGTCATCCTCAATAGATTGTACATCTTTGAACTCCTTGCATGTTCACATATATAGCCAAAAGCATAATCAAATGTGAAGTGAGTTAATTAAGCAATTTAAAATCATTAGTATGGAAAAAAGGTCAAAAAGAAATGCTATTTTCTTGATATTTCGTGACCTTCATTTCGTCATGCGTAACGCATGAGTTGATGAATTAATAATTTACCGGTGTGTGACCGGTGAGTGGTTTTCCGTCAACCATGAAAACACTGTAAGTCTAATAGTTAGCAGTAGTTTGTAATAGACCAATACTAATAGTCTAGGTTGTATCCGATTGATAGGTATCAACATATTCATCACAAAAACAAGTTTTTTTTTTTATTTTAATGGTCATTTTCGTTATGGTAACTAATTAAACTAAAGGTTTAATTTATTCAAACTAGTCTGTTTTTTGTTAGGTATTCGTTTATAGTTTATATGTCTAAAAGTTATATTGACTAGTCTATTACTTATTGCTACTAACTAATTGGTCTATTTCTTTTCAAGGTTGACGGAAAACCACTCTATTCAGACTACGGACTAGACTGATTCCATAAGTCGGTCCCAGTTGTTCGTTCTCTGTCAGATTYTTTTTTCGCTCACCGGTCCTAGTTTCGCGACAAATCGAAAAACYGAGAAGCGAAAACTACGATTTATGGAATCARTCTAACTACAGATTAGATACATCTATAAATCTAAAATATATGATGAGGCAACTTTCGAAAAAACAGGTAAACTGAATCCAATAGGTCGGTCTAAGGTTAAAATGTACATTTACAAAATTCGATTTGAATAAATGCCCAAATTTTTAGTGAATATTTCGTTTTCGGAAAAATCCTGTTCTGTCAAGAATAACGCGTTCCCTTGGGAGCCTGGATCGATGCTGTGACGTCGTTATGACGTGTGCTAAGGGACGAATACCTTCACATATCGCAATATCTACCATAGTTTATACAAGAAGTTACTGTTTTATCGCTGTTATATTGAGGTTAAAGAGTCAATTTATAGAGTTATACCGAACCATTGTGTCGTTTGGGGATGCGATAACATCCCTTAACCCCGACAAAGGTTCATCTTTGAAGATAACACACTGGGGACACAAAACGCGTCGAGTCTTTATTAAAAATTATCGCGAAAGACTCTAGTCTGCGAACCGTTATCTATGTGAATGGAATTAATATAGCGTTTACAGTCAGCCCGGGTCTTTTCTCTTCACCGCGACCCGGGTTAATGCTGCAATGGGTCTAGATTTTTCACTAAAAGATAAAGTAACCACTAATATGAATGGAATTTTGAAAATAAAATAAAACTACGAACCGAGGATWTTCAATAAATAGTTAAATAAATAGTGTAATAAATCAACGTGATTCATAATAATTGTCTGTTATTAACTTTAACATTAACCTAATTAACTAACATAACTAATTTAATCACGCTAAATGTATCATGAACTTCAGAACGTTTAACAGAAGCGCTTAGTAAAATACTCATTAGTCGGGCTAGCCGTTTGAGACCAGACTTTAGTTTCACCTTTTCATCTATCTATCTGTTTTTTTTTTAATTGAAGATGACTTCTAGGAAGTGCTAGGTGCATTTTAAAATGTCCAGTCAGCCAAGTGCATTACAATGGTTGGGCGGAATATGATAGTGAATGCTCCAAGAYCAAAGACCAAAATATTATATATATTTACATTGCAATTTCTTAATTAGCCACGCGGCATTCTTGAGCGTCTTGACGCTGGTGAGGTGGTGGTTGGTGATGGAGGTTTTGTGTTTGCTTTGGAGAAAAGAGGTTACGTCAAAGCTGGTGTGTTCACTCCTGAAGTTGTGGTGGAATTCCCCGAGGCTGGTAGGTAAATCTTTAAACAGCTTTTTTTTTCTCTTCTATATTCCACAATCTTTACCATCTTGAAGTATGGAAAGTATCCAATCGCACACGAAGAGACTAATTGGTCTTCTGTTCCAATTCCACAGTTCGACAGCTTCACATCGAGTTTCTTCGTGCCGGTGCTGACGTCATGCAGGCATATAATTACTACGCTTCMGAAGACAAGTTGATAAACCGTGGAAACCAAGCCATTCGAATCGGGGTAAAAATAGAGTTGAGTTAAGTAAATCAATATCAATTTTGACACAGTAATGTTAATTGGTCAATGCTAGTGAATTCGACTACGAGTCTACAAATCAGGCAAGATAGATTCCACGCCTGTGTAAAGAACGTTACGTAACTGGAAAATATATTACCATGATTTAACGTCTCGGTAGTCCATTAAGCCCTACTTAATCTTCCAGAGAGCTAATGGTTCGAATTTAAAGACTTCAYTGAAAGAAAAGAAGTCGATGCAAGAAGGAGACTGGGAAATCGAACATCGGGTCTCTCGCACAGMAGAACACCCTCTAAAAAWATGTGCAATCCTTGATTCTGTGTAAATAAATAATGCACGCATCGCAACCGGAAAACTTGTACGTCCATTACATGCACTGAGGGGAGTCAAATGAATTTACAATACTCTTCAAAACGGTTGGGATTTGAAACCAAGCGGGGACTAGCCCGAAAGGTCACGAGGGAGAACTAATAAATTCAGTCGACCTCCCTCACTACATGTTTCTACCAGTAGAGCCAAAACTTCACAATGCATATTTTCGGGATTATTTTCAGTTGAAAGAGATCAATGCATCAGCCTGCAGRCTGGCGCGKGAGGTTGCCAACCAAGGTGATGCACTTGTTGCKGGTGGTCTCACACAGACTCCATCTTACATGGACGGTCGAGGAAAGGAAACCGTTCAACGCGAATTCCAGAAACAAGTTGACATTCTTGTGGAAAAYGGCGTCGACTTTCTCATAGGCGAGGTGAATATATTGCTGCTGCAATATTTCCTCCTCTCAAATGCTTATCRACGTTTGTGCCCGAAAATTCCGAGAAGTGACCCAAATATTAAGTCGAATATAAGCGCGAGAGCATGGCCGACTGATCATGTCACTGGTAMCCAATGATTTCATCGTGACCACCAGCTGAGACTTGTTCAGATTTCGATTTGCTCAAAGTCAGTTGGCCATGCTGATTGTAAATAGACGATTACGATGACTACTTAGTACAATTATTATTTTCTAATTGCAATGYCATGGTGTTTTCACTCCTTTTTTAATGTTTAAGACCTTTGATCACGTAGAAGAAGCAGTTTGGGCAACAGAAGAGTGCAAGAAATCTGGTCTTCCAGTGGCAATGTGTGTTGGAATATGTGAAAAAGGCGATTTAGATGGAGTTCCTCCAGGTGAATGTGCTGTGAGAATAGCAAAAGCAGGTAAGCCACACAGTRGCATCGGAAACAAAGACCATTGATGGTCAAGCAGTTAGAACGCTAGTCARTCGTCATCCAACATGGCGGCGATGACTTAACGTGAAACCGAGATCCTGATCAACTTCTTCACGGTTGACGGTTGAAAGAAATGTCTTAAATTTTCAATAGTTTTGTTAAATGCTTAAAACTTTATCAATTCAAGCGATAAAACTATTGCATGTAATTATGTAATATTTAAACGTTGTAATATTTTGTACATTTGTAGGGGCTGACATAGTTGGTGTTAATTGCCATTTTGGTCCCAATCGCTTGATAAGTGCACTACGTATGATGAAAGAAGGTCTGGACAAGGCTGGAATTAAAAAGCATCTCATGGTCCAACCAATTGGATATTTGACACCAGAATTGAATGAAATCGGCTTCACAAGTGCTGTCGAGTTTCCGTATGGTAATTTCGAAAGATTCATAGCTATTTACTAACTACTACATGTAGTAACGGTAGTCGCCGTCTTATTCACAGACCAGACTCACGTTTACAATAACGTTACTCAGAACTTAAAAAAAAAACGGAAAAAATTCTAAACTTATTCCGTTGTAAACTGGGAAATGCTTAGTGAAGAATGTCTAATATCACCAATACATTGAAAAATTCTCCAAACAGGATTTCTAAATCGTATTTCCCGTTCCCACTTAAAAGCGAATGAGTGCTGCTTTATTTGACAATAAACTCTCTTACGCAAAATCTGCCTTACCACAACTGCTGTCACTACAATACTCCCACACACTTGAGGCTAAAAAGCCTACATTCCCTGAAGAAGGATCAAACTTTTTAAACATAAAAGACTTTTAGAGTATAGGCTTAACCGCTTAACCTCATATCTTGTTTCGTTTCGTTTTCTTTTTTTTTTACTTTTGCTTTTCTATTGTTGTTGTTGTTGTTGTTGTTGTTAGCCAATATTTCCGATGGATAAGAAAATTTAGCATTCATTGATTTAATGAACTGTTCATTCTAGCATTGGAACCTCGTACATTGACCCGCTTCGATGTCCATAAATACGCAAGAGAAGCCTACAATCTTGGTGTACGGTACATTGGAGGCTGTTGTGGCTTTGAAGCCTACCACATCCGGGCAATTGCTCAAGAGGTACACGTCATTCAAGTTTCTTACCCAAAAAAAACAGCAGAAAATTAATAAACAAGAAACCTATAGTTTTCGTACTTCGTTGTGTATAAATGTGTACTCTGTAAGAAACAATTATTAATAGTAAATATTATTAAAAAATAAATAAACAAGAAACCTATAAAATGCAGGACGTCATGTTCAAATTATTATCATTCCTATTATTATTATTTCTTTCTTTGTTTTTTTTTTATTTGTCTATTTATTTTTACTTCTTGCAGCTCAGTAAAGAGCGTGGTAAACTACCTCCCTCAAGTTCTAAGGACGAAATGTGGGGAGCGAATCTACGTCAACATACCAAACCCTGGGTCAGAGCTCGTGCAAGCCGATCGTACTGGGAGAACTTACAACCAGCCARCGGACGACCATACAGTCCTGYATTGTCCAAATCGGCAAATGGGAGTGGGTGGTCGTTTACCGCTGGCCAAAAAGACATGCAGCAATATAACGAAATGACAAGAGCGGCAGAACTTGAGGAAAACATGAAAAAAGCTGCTTTGAAGTCCTGATTAAGATAAAAWAAGTCATTCAATAAATTTCGTACATAGACGACATTGAGCGGTCCAATTTAATCATTTTACAATGGGATAGAAGCTTGATATAACATTAAACGCTTACGGTACACACTCTTTTCCCTGGATATATCATAGAGTTTGCTATAGTTTTTTTTTATGTACAACATTTCACTTTCTCTTTTGGTTTTTCGATCCAGATTTCCAGTTTTTCACTTTGTTGATGTCGATAAAAAATTTGGCCGTACGCAAAGGGTCAACCAATGAGAACGGCCCAAGTAAGATCTTTCTATAACCCGCAAAACCGGATTTTACTGGAATTGATATCTCCTAGATCGGCCTGATTGACCATAAATAAAACGTTCATACTTGCTATGGATAAGGGAAAAAAGGTTTGTATTATGTATTTGAATGTTATTATGAGTAGACATGATTCTTTCACTCAGTCAMAAGCTCGAAGAGGATCAATTTCACCTCCGTTTTCAATTGCAACACAGCCAGTATATACAGAATCAAATCGTGACGCGTCAAACGACTTGCCGACAGTTCTTTATGAATTGCTCTCGTAGCAATGGGGAAACAACAGGTTCGATGTCGGACCTTACACTAGACTTCATCTTCCATTGTCTTTCATTTTAAATATGTAAATATCAATGACCAGTTCAACAGATAAATCTTGGATTAATTAATTGATATACTATCAAACAACGTAAGATATAAATGGTATACTTTTTTCTTCGATATATAGACGTTTAAACGTTAAGTAGCATGAAGTGGATTTACTTAATGGTGTCTATGCCTTTTCCATAGACGGTCATAAGAMATTAAATCCACCATGCAGGTCAAAGGGCTTATTAACGTAAAACTAGWCACTGGAGTGCTGGATATCGAACAATGTTGKCAAGTTAGCACTTACAGTCAATCCYATTAACGTTGTTCATTTGTAAAGACGCAAAGACAACAACAAAGCAGGCCCGTAAGCTGCCTTGCAAAATAATTCATTTCGGTCCAGAACTTCCTGACTGTGGTTAGYTGTGAAGTTCACTAGACAAAACTGCAAGTGAGGTAGAATCKTCTGGTGATTTAGATGATAGATAATATCCCTCCTCCTTTCTCGCGCCAGACCCCCTCAGCTTGACTGATGATCCTTCCTGGTCCAGCCGGAATAAGTGTTCCACCATTTTATGTAAATGACTATGTTGTTGTGTTTCTGTCTTCACAACTGAACAAGAACGTCAAAATGYGGTTGACTGTATGCCACTCAGTCTTCTGTAACCATTTAAATTACTTCATTAGCCTCGTGGTATCCTTGAACGTCTAGATGCTGGTGAAGTTGTGATTGGTGATGGGGGTTTTGTGTTTGCTTTGGAGAAAAGAGGTTACGTGAAAGCYGGTGTATACACACCTGAAGTTGTGGTCGAATTCCCTGAAGCAGGTAAGAGAACAGGAAAATATTGCATTTTGTAACACACGAGAAAAATCTTTAATAAGAAATTATTTAGGAAGAATCCAATATGTGAACTAAAACACTAAATATTATATCATAGTTCGACAGCTTCACATCGAGTTTCTTCGCGCCGGTGCTGACGTCATGCAGGCATATAATTATTATGGCTCTGAAGACAAGTTGATGAACCGAGGAAAYAAAGCCATTAGAATTGGGGTACGTTGAATGTTATAAAAACTTMCTTAGCTGGAGTGGATATATAATTATGTTTTGGGCCGTAATGATTATTAATAAGGTGATAAGATGTATTTTGAGAGTGCGGAAAAAAATAATTATAATGCAGGTACCCCTCTAAACCCTGCATCGATTGTTTTTGTGTGCAACACTCCTTACAGCTACACGTTGACTGGGGGAGAAAAGTTCCGGCGGGAATCTGAGCTATGCACACATATATTTGGCCATCGCTGTTCAACGGCTCTCAAACCCAAAGACCTTTGAGGCAATACGATAAATTTTAGAGCGCTTTCCCTTTCTCTTTGCTGAATACCTACAATTTCCAGTTTGGCCACCATGCTTGAAGTTCTTATGCTGCTGGCTTACTCATTGRTGTGCAATTTTGAATCTTTTATGTCACCGAAAAACCAACCARCATTTTAAAATCTTCCGATAATTCTATGTTGTTGTGACRTTCAATACTTCTTTTTGGCCGTAACCTTTGTGGCTTTCCTCTATCAGTGATTTGTGTTATTTGACAAAGTCGGAAAAACAGACACAGACACAGAAGTCCCTTCCATATACTTCRCAACAACTGCAGAAATATTTGAATATCAGTAGAGTGAGGAGTCCCATCACAGAGTGCTGCCGTGGCTTTCTAATACCTGGAAGACCATCACACCAGATGYAACACTCCAAAACATATAAGACGTTGCGCACGTGTAGCTGGTCTACCTCTTTTCTTGTTGTTGTTGCTTTTGTTTCGTAGCTGTATTACCCAGAGACACCCAAACTTATGTAAACATCTCCTTAATAAAGCTTTCATRARCTGAGCAAAACTTATCCCAATMCATATTTTCGGCATTATTTTCAGCTGAAAGAGATTAATGAATCAGCCTGCAGACTGGCGCGTGAGGTTGCCAACCAAGGTGATGCACTTGTTGCTGGCGGTCTCACASAGACTCCATCTTACATGGATGGACGAGGAAAAGAAGCTGTTCAGCGAGAGTTCMAAAAACAGATTGACATTCTTGTGGAAAATGGTGTGGACTTTCTCATTGGCGAGGTAAATATATCACTGTTAAAATCTGCCTTGCTGTCAAATGTTCATCAAGGTTTGGGACACAGAAAATATTATTATTTTCAAGATATGGGTTTTTAGGAGTGTTCGACGGGACGCAGTTCTGAATACATTGAAACTGGATCTTCGTTCATTTCGTTTGTTCATCTAAAATGTCCAGCGCGCAAGTTGACATACTTGTAACAGATTCAGAGTTTAAAACACTGGCGATGAGTCAAGCTCGTCATGGTTGTACGAAATTAATCAATTTCAGGGTTCTCTGTGTGTTTTTTAAGACATTTTATGACGTTGATGAAGCCGTTTGTGCTACGGAACAGTGCAAGTGTAGAACAGTAGCAATGTGTGTTTCGATATCTTGAAGTTGGGGATCTTGATGAGTCAAGCTCATCAAAAGTGTACGATTTCAAACAATATTTCAGGGTTCTGTTTCTTTTAAGACCTTTTGTAACGTTGAGGAAGCCGTTTGGGCTACGGAACAGTGTAAGAAATCCTCTCTTCCAGTGGCAATGTGTGTTTCAATATCTGAAAATGGGGATTTTGATGGAGTACTACCAGATGAATGCGCTGTACGATTGGCCAAAGCAGGTAGGAAGCATGATTATACCATATGCCGCATAGAAGTATGATTCGATATATGGTCAATTGATCCACCACAACTAGTAGCATTGGATATTGGTCTTGTTGGAAAAAAAATCTCGGTTTTCACAATTCTTGGGTTTAACCACATCGCTAGAGAATTAAAGAACAAAGCTACCACCGCCATGTTGGATTAATGAGCAAGCGAAACTAATGAGGAATGCTTTGTTATTGTCATCCAACATGGCGGCGATGACGTAACGTTAAACCGAGAAATAATATAATGTAAAACGAGAGAGCATGAGAAAAATCAAGAGCATGTAGAAAAATCTTAAAGAGATTACAGATATTTTACAGGAACAGGAAACCAGTAAACAAATATATTACAATAGCAAATTTGTTAATTTGAATTAAGCTTTAGAAGATATTCTCCCGTATTTTCATTCTCTGAAACWCGCGGGATTTTTGTGAGAACACGAGGAAGGTTTTGAACGACGAACTGAAAGCTTAACAACAACCTCTCCCTTGAAAGCTGTGTTTCTATGCCCTCTTTTTTCGCTTTTTGTAAGTATTCCAACCAACCAACGCTCGCGTTATATAGATAATACATGTGGTTATTTCGTAAATTGTTTTATCATTTGAACTTATCTCTAGGTGCTGATATAGTAGGAATTAATTGTTTGTATGGTCCAAACCGTTTGATAAATACTCTACGTATGATGAAAGAAGGTCTGGAAAAGGCTGGAATCAAAAAGCATCTCATGATTCAGCCGATAGGATACTTAACACCAGAAGTAAAAGGAGGATTTGCATCGGCTCCCGAGTTTCCTTTAGGTATTTCAACAACTCCAATCAACTATTGTATCACAATCTATAGTTTTAAAATTATTTTCGGATGAATTTTCTGCTGCTCACAGGGTAGAAACAGGTACATGGGACCGGGAGTATCATTATATTTTGGGGCACAGATCACATTTTCGTCATCAGGGTCTGGGGATCGTGATCACTAAAGTTATTTAGGTATTGGCAAATTGTCGTGATTTGGGGATCAAGGATCGGACTTTCGGCCCTCGGATGGTAGTCTCCTTCATAGCCTACTATTTTGCAGGGCTTCCTGGCTAATTGGATCGGATATCACGGCAAAAACTATATATCATGCATGGCAAATCTCTCGTCTTGATGACATTTATTTGTGTAAAAATAGCCTAGATAAACTTGATTTATTGATTGAAACATCGCGTCCACTAAGTCGCAGGAAAAAAAATATTAAAAYTTAAAAGATCGTGATGTAAAGTTTTCAACAGTAATAACCTGCATTGTCATATAATTATCTATGAAATACCTATATTTCTCCATTTCGTAAAGTTGATATAAAATAAAATGACATTCGAGGCTTCTCTATATAGTGCAAGCAAGAAAAAGGTAAATTACGAAATAATTTGCGTTCATGTTTAATTTTATGATAAACAGAATATTGCATGGTCGCTTGGAGATAAGAATTTTATCTTCTTGTGTTGAAAACTCGAAGATAAAATCCCTATCTCCGCGCGCCCATGTAATATCCTCTATTTATATGAGACGAATGAGAAATGAAAAAAAAGATCTAGAGAGCTTAGATATTACGAAAAATCATAGGCTGGAGGTCGGTTCTGAAACAATCATTTATTTAACAGCAATGGAACCTCGCACAGTGACTCGTTTCGATGTCTATAAATACGCAAGAGAAGCCTACAACCTTGGTGTACGGTACATTGGAGGCTGTTGTGGCTTTGAAGCCTACCACATCCGGGCAATTGCTCAAGAGGTACTCCGTCATTGACGTTGTTATCATTAAGAACTATAGCAGAAAGATCGGAAGCAATAGGCGACCATATTTAGAAAAACGAAACGAAAAACTATAATAGATGATTCCTTTAAGGGGGCGAGAATGTAGAGAAGGTTGAAGGTTGCAGGCCGATTCTGAGAATGAAACGAAAAATCGCGAATTCGCTGCTGAATTCGGAAATTTGGAAACTGGAAATTGATCTSGAAATTTAAGTCAAGCAAAAGACACCGGTGTGGTAGAACTGAGAAAACAAACAACAATGAGAAGACATTGGATTGTATAGTTTAGCTACAGARGTATTAAATAATCGCGAGAAAAAACCTAGAGGAATCGTAAAAAAGGATGCACTGTGCTACATAGGTGTGTCGTTATGGTGATGAAGTAGTATATTTTTGTATACCTGAATAATTTATTTACGGTTTGGCATTATTCCAACCCTATGTAGCTTATTTGTAGTCAAAATATGAATAAACATATAWTGAATCAATTTTGCAGCTGAGTAAAGAGCGTGGTAAACTACCTCCCTCAAGTGCTAAAGACGAAATGTGGGGTGAAAATCTACGACAACACACCTACCCRCAGGTCAGAGCTCGTGCAAGCCGATCGTACTGGGAAAACTTAAATCCGGCCAGCGGACGACCATACAGTCCAGCGTTATCKAAACCAGCCAGTGGATGGTCGTTTACCGCTGGCCACGAAGACATGCAGCAATATAACGAAATGACAAGAGCTGAAGAACTCGAGAAAAACATGAAAAAAGCTGCTTTGAATTCCTAATCAAAACAAAAAAAACAGTGATACAATAAATTACGTTTATAGACGACATTGAGTTGTTCAATTTAATCYTTTTACAATTGAAGCTTGATTACCACATTGCTCGCAGCCGTGACGCGTGACCGAAACTAAACACGTCTGCGAGGAGATTATACATCTTGTGGATCGGCTGRCTGAYCATAGTTTATACGTTCATACTTGCTATGGATCAAGGAAAAAAGGTTTGCATTACGTATTTGAATGTTATTATGAGCARACAAGATTCTTTTACTCGGATCGATTTCTYTCCTCCGTTTGAATTTCTTGAGCGACTTTGGAATACCCCAACACCGCACTTTCTAGCTGGATTGAAATTTGYATCCCGGCTCTTTTCAGAACGACAGATAATTTMATAGATTTTAATGATATCTATAAAGCGASGGGATATTCTAAAGTTTAATTAACCGYTTTGAATTTCGTGCGAATAAGTGACTTAARTTGCTTCTTCTCCGCTACCGTCAAAAACGCCTTCAAGCTTCCTTCACTGCTTCCGYYTTTGCTCATTGAATTGCATCAAGAGTAGGTCAGAGTAAGTGACTTAATTTTCTTAATGCCCGCTACTGTGACTAGTGAAATGCCAGCTTAATACAGGGATATTTGCATGCAAGTGCATTAATGATATCAGTTTACTATATCTTTGATGATTTTTATGGATTTTCGTTTGTCCTTTAATTGAAAACGATTGCTCTCAGTCAATATTCACTGCCCACATCTGTAATTAGTTTATACTCCACTCTCTCGTGATGAAAATAGTATTTCGAGGATAACTTTGTCTGACCTTACACTAGACTTCTTCCATTGTCTCACATTTTCAATTTATTAATATTTATGACCAGTTCAAAAGATAAATCTTGGATTAATTAATGGATATATCATTATTAATTAATGAATAATGGAATATATATAAATACGTCTCTTTTTTTTCTTCGCAATTTAGTGAAAAATTGACGCATAAAAGTTTTAACGWGGCGTTTTAACGTGGCATGAAGTGGATTTACTTGAATGTTGTCTATGCATGCCTTTTGCATGAGACGGTCATACGATACTAAATCAACCATGCTGCTGGGCAAAAGGCCTATTGACGCAAAATTAAACCCTGGACACTGGAGTGCTGGATATCAATTCCATTAACGTTGTTCAGTTGTAAAGACGTAAAGACAAAGCAGGTCCGTAAGATAGTGCCTTACAAATGGGGAGGGGGGTCGGTTTTTTTCACAATGCGGACCTAAATTAAATGTTTAAGTAGATTAGTTCTGGCTGCTAGAATGAGCAGTTCACAACAAAATTCTATCTCATAAACAATTTTCAAAATAGAACAATAAGAAAGAGAAACACAGGACCTTTTAAGCTTGTGGGCCTACATATGGGCCTGCATATATCATAATGTTTTGTTTTGTTTTTGTTTTTGTTTTTGTTTTTGTTTTGTTTTTTTGATTTTTTGTTTGTTTGTTTGTTTGTTTGAATATTTAACCTCAAGCTCCAAAACTTTGTGAAAATGTCAATAACATTTCACTTGCAAGAATGATCTGGATGTTTTAAATCCAAATTCTTCGCGGGAATCGAAAACAAAATATGCAAATGACTTTGTTGTCGTGTTTATGGCCTTACAAGTAGAACAATGTTAATGGGGTTGAGTGTATGTCATTCAATCGTTTCTAACAATCGCCACTTTAATTACTTCATAAGCCTCGTGGTATCCTTGAACGTCTAGATGCTGGTGAAGTTGTGATTGGTGATGGGGGTTTTGTGTTTGCTTTGGAGAAAAGAGGTTACGTCAAAGCTGGTGTATATACTCCTGAAGTTGTGGTCGAATTCCCTGAAGCAGGTAAGTGAAGAGAAAGATATTGCATTTGTAACACTCAGGAAAAAATCGATTTTCCGTCTGGTGAAAAAGTCATTCCATCTAGCTAGTAGGAATGATCCGTTTCAAAATCATTTCTTCGTTTTCAAGTTACGTCACAGCGGCCATCTTGGGAAGTTCAACAAAGGAATTCTCATTAGTATCTATTTTCATTCATCCAACATGGTGCTATAATTTCTCTACATTCTTTTAATCAAATCCTTCGGAAAAGATCCAATAAGCGAACTAAAACACTAAATATTTTATCACAGTTCGACAGCTTCACATCGAGTTTCTTCGCGCCGGTGCTGACGTCATGCAGGCATATAATTATTATGCCTCTGAAGACAAGTTGATGAACAGAGGAAACGAAGCTATTAAACTTGGGGTACGTTGAATGTTATAAAAACTTCYTTAGCTGGAGTGGATATAGATGTTTTTGTTTTGCCGTGATGATTATTAATAAKYTGATAAGSTTTATTTTGAGAGGGCGGCACAAAACAATTTATGAAACTGTAAACCAAGTGCCCCTCTAAACCTTGCATTGATTGTTTTTGTGTACAACACTCMTTACAGCTACATCTTGACTGAGGGAGAAAAACAAGGCTTACTGGGGAAAAAACTCACAGCAATAAGGATGAGAACCGCCAACAAACAAATCACACAAAGTTCCGGMAACAACCAGAGCTATGCACAGTAATTCTTGGCCATCGCTGCTCAACGGCTCTCAAACCCATAGACCTTGTAGGCAATAGGATAACTATTAGAGCGCTTCCCCTAACTCTTTGTTGAGCAGCAACAATTTTCCGTTTGGCTTTGCTCGAAGTTCTTATATTGCTGGCTTATTCATTGATGTGCAATTTTGAAGCTTTTTTGTCACCGAAAAAAACAACCAACATTTTATAATATCCCGATAATTGTATGTTGTTGCGCCATTCAATACTTCTTGTTTGGCGGTAACCTTCAGGACTTTACTCAATTAGTGATTTGCGTTATTCGACAAAGGCGAAAAATCAGACACAGACACAAAAATTCTCAACAGCAGCAGAAATATTTGAATATCAGTAGAGTAAGGCGAGTCCCTTCGCAGAGTGTTGCCGGAGCTTTCTAATACCTGCAGGACCATGACACCAAATGGAACCATACCATAGTACACGCTGAGCACGTCTAGCTGGGCAACCTCTTTTGTTGTTCTTGTTGCTTTTGTTACATAGCTGTAACACCCAGAGCACCAAAGCGTATGTAAACATCCCCTTAA